ATTTTCTATGCGAGCTTTATCGGCGATTTAAGCGTACATACATTTTCCAGATTCATAGCTGTCAGCGCGATGTATTTGTGACGCCCCGGGATTGAATTTTATCGAATAGAATTACAGATTTATACGGTATACCGTAGATTTTGCGATGCGCCAGATAATCTCGCGCAGCCGCTCCGTCCGTAAACCTCGCCCAAGATTCACTGCCGCGCGCTTCCCGCAAGCTCCATTTATCTTCCAGCGCGTGATATGTGCGATATTGCACGCAGTTTCCAATACTTGTCGATCCCTTTCTCATCCGAGCGAACGCGGAGCTAATCGACATAAGTTGGGCGCTCGGCAGCCTTAATTAAAAAGAAGGCGCCTCTCCATTAAGAAACGCGTCGGGGGACGGCCGCATTCTTCCACTTGCATGCCAACGGTGACTCTCCGGTCAATTTTCGCAGCAGCCGGATACAATCCCATTCCGCTTAACTGGCGCCATCATTTCCGTGACTAGAATGTGCAGCATCGCTCGAGAGCTCCTTGGTGATCTGACATTTATTCCGATACGTCGACGCGGACACATTCGAGAAGAGAGAGAGAGAGAGAACCCGTTTCAATTACTCTGATAATAGTCTCTACGGGCGATTTCGACGTGTCACTTCGTCTCGTCGATAAACAGCGGCGACCGTTCCTCCGCTCGCAGCTTATGTACGTGCTCGTCGAGCCAGGTGCACACCCCGTTCGCGAAGACCACGACATCGCCCGCCATTCGCTTTTACCTAAGTGTCGTGATTACGCCCGTGACCGGAATCGAGAGACTCCGCCTGAGTCGGGGCTATTGCCAACGCTGCCTCGGCGGAATTCCAAATGGGGGGATCTTTTTCGCGGTGCATGTTCGTTTACCCAACTGGCCGTTAGGACAGGCGAGGAAGAGTAAAAAGAAATTAATCTGCAGTGATCCCAAAATAGGCCTGCCTCGAAAGGCAAAACCTGAATAGAATTTCACGAAAAGGATGCTCCCAACAGGTCGAAACTGCTCCTTTATATAGAGCAACCTCCGTTTCTGCTCGAAGAGAACGTGCTGTCGGAGGAGTGTTGTTCTCAACTTGGCGCGCAAACTCGCGAGGAGAGTTCATCGGAAGATATAGGTAGCTAACGTTATCGCGATCATACATATTGGAGGCCTCACATCAATAGTAATCAGCGAGAGAGATTTTTTTGTTGGATCAAAAGTGCACCGATTCGTTGGCTTGAAAAGCGAGTTGCCGAAAACGCAAGATACGCGCCCTACGACTTATTAACAGATATCTCCGAGGGGGTAGATAAGAAGTTTCGGCTCAATTTCCTTTGACACAGTTTCCTTCGCAGCGAGTCAACGGAGGGAGGGGAACGGAATTTCAATCGCGCCTCTTTGTACCTTCGCGGCGTGAATTCTCTTTCTCGCGTTATTACCGGGAAACAAATCGCGGTGGTTTAACACCGCGCGAGCCGTCGCGTTCGTAAACCAGTTCGATAAGGGTCGGGGGAGACGACACGCGTCCGTGCCTCTCTCCCTCGGAGGTTTCCCCGGTGCAGGAAGTCGTGAGATGCGTTTGTCACGACGCGGCGGCCGGAGCAATAACAATGCCAGGATAAATTAACCGATAGGCGGCGCTGACTGAGAGCGGCTATAAACCGATCCTGTAAGGAGAGAGCCCGCCCCAGGTGGCCAGTTAACCGCTTAAAAAATATCTTCGCTCTCTTCTTCTTTCTGTTTTTAACCACCCTCGACGCGCCGAGCCAGCCGTCGTTCCCTAACCATTCGCGTTTCGATCCGTCATTTATCCTGGAGCTTATTGTGATTTACGTTACGGCGAAGGATCGCTTAATCTTTCGCACGCCGGACGTCATCTCGGAATCCGTGGTCGTGGGCTAACTGATGGAAATCGTTGTTGCGCTCGCGACATTTATTTCCAGACGGGACCTGTATAGAGAGCGCACGAGGACGACGCGAGGGAGAGAGAAAGAAAATCCGCTCATTGCACAAAACCGATATCTGCTAGAAAGTAACTGCTGGAGAGATACCGATTTCTAATCAACTATGCCATGAAGAATACGTACTGCATTCGAGTAAATATGAGACAAATATTTCATAAGTTTATATCTGATCTTCCTGTCAGGCAACCTCCTGAGCTATTCCACGTTAGTGACATTTCCCGCTTTCGTATTAAAGCATTGGTATCGTAAATCAGTACTGGCCGAATTTATACGCGACACCTACACGGGATATTAACGTCGGCCGACTAGGATAATATAGCGAAGCGGAAGAATCTTCTCAAGCCGGATAAAGAGTGCAACATCGGATCGCGACACAATTTCAAGATAACTGCGATAAAGAGATAGCGAGGGACAATAACTCGATCGTATCAGAAGATTACATAGACTGCCGGGCGACCGGCAGATTCGCGGGTGATAAGGAATGCGTCTGCAGAAGGCGGATTTCTTCGGTTATTCCATCGCGTCGTCCGCAGCAACGGAGAAAAAGTCAACATCGCGCGCCCGGTAAACAGGGAGCGACGTAAATTCTCAGCCTTGTCTCTAGGTATTATTCAGGCTTAGTGGATGCTACGGTCGCGACCGTGGAGAGAGGAAGCTCAGTCTGCGAGCGCAAACAAACGGTTCTAATCCGTTTAACATAAATACCACGTGGTTTAATTAAATCGCGCACCGCAAGGTAATCGGTGTTGTTTGCAGAAGCGCGGCTTTTTCTTCTTTAGGCATCGAGATTACCGCGAGCGATGGGTCGATATTTGTTCGCAAACAAGCCGCGGGGAATAAGTTTCGGAGAGCGCGCGCGAAATGATATTTGGCAGATTTCCGCGATTCAACTCGGCGAAATGAATTTCTAGAAAAACATCGAAAGGCATTCCCGAGATTGTTTCAATTATAAACATGTTTCGTCTCTTCGTAATTACACGCGTTTGAAACGTTGTTTTGATATAATAAACGCGAGCCGAGAAACAGGCTTTACTGTTTCAAACGAAAAGCACAGAAGCATTATGGTAGACGATGACAAGCAGAGGTTCTTCCCTAGCAGGATTGTTGTATAAATTTGGTTTTACTACAAGTAATGTTAGTTTCACATCACGCACAATGCATCGTTGTGTAATCCTCATATTATTCATGGCGCCCTGACCGCGGCTCTGTTAACATTAGTAGTACTTATTTCTAACCATATCTATTTTTTAGATCCTATTTCTTGTAAAAGATGAGAAAGATAGATTCCGAAGTCTTATGACCTTCTGTCAATCATTTGATAAAGGAAATGATTGATGAAAAGTCACAAGATTTCAGAATATATATATTACTATAGATTGTTTCTATGACTATATCTTCAAAACAAAATGATCAACAATTTTGAAATTGTCATATAATGTCTCTATATTAATGTCAAAATAGTTTTTTATTAAAATCCTAAATGTGATTAAGAAGAAATTAAAATGTAAAAAAACGGGGCATTAACTTCAAGGAAGTGTCAATATGCAGTAAAAATTTAAAAAGATTCCTAGGAAAACGGACCAACCACCTTAATTGCCAACGCGCGCTAGTTTATTCACCTACATTTATTAGCATATTAATGTCTCTTCACTAGACTTATCTCCTTCGCCAAATTGGAAAATTTTACGGGAGCGGTACGTATCGTTTTAAAGCCGACCGAGAAGATTGCACAGCTCCCCGTTGGAAAATAATTTGATCGATAAATAGAGCGGAGCCCGGCTCAAATTTATTCCGCGCGATAAAATGTTGTAACGAGTATTTTGCTTCAAGAGGTTGTTATTCGACGCAATTTTGCGGACGACACTTCGTCACAATCTACTATGGACGCTTAATTATCAGAAATGCAACACCGTATCATCTTCGGCGCGCCGACACAATCGACCGCCGAAATTTCCCCGTTATCTCTGCGGAACGTCCCTCAGCAGAGACAATGAAATAATCTCCGTGAGCCGCATTCACAGGATGTCAACGCGATAATTTTCGCCGTGAACCATTTCCCCGTGCTGGCTTGCCGTAAGATGACGACGCTACAAGGAAGAGAACGGGGACGCGCTTAAAATAGTGAGGAAAGGGAGATGAATTTCTCTACTCAGGCTAATCTCGTAGAAGAGGCGCTCCTTTGTAAATACTTCGGAGGCTTTGTCTGAAGTTACCGCGGGAACGAAACTCTTCTATCTTAATCATTCGACTAACACGGCGCTCGCAACACCGCCCACGTCTCACCCACCGCGATTAGAATCTCTCTCGCGCTATGTACTTCTCCTTTTTTTCCCCCCCCCCCCCNTACACGACGGCATCTTTCTCTCTTTCATTCTCTTCCGTACTCTTTCCCCGCGGTAGCGAAGAACGAGAAAATTGACGATCTCCATGGCGACCCTTGCCGCGTCCTGAATATCTTATGCACGAGCCCCATTAGCGGCAGGAACGTCGCAAAGGATAAATGGCGGCCGCTTTAAAGGAGCTCGACATTCTATAGAATGGGAGATACTCTATGAAAAGGAGCGCTACACCTTCATACAAAAATGTATCCGCGCGGAAGCGGATTTCCACGACGATCGTAATAAATTATTACGGAGATCTCGGTAACGATACGCTTGTAATCAATGTACCGACTACCCCCGCGTAACGGACCTTATTATTTCACGAGGCTCGCGCATAAATTGAATTCCCCCGAAATAAATTGCGCGACGTTACGCCGTGGGGGAGCGGCATGTAGAAATGAGAGGAAAGGAAGGCGACTAGCGATTCCGATATTTTCCAGACCGAGATGGTTATATAATTTTACGTCTGTTTTAATCAAACTAATTAAGGTGCCAAAAATACATATTTAATCATCTCTACTTTTTTCTTCAGAATATTACGAGAAATAAGCAGGAAAATTTTTATACATTTAATGAAATATATTCTTCGAAGTTTTCTTAATCAAAATTAATTTCCATTAGTCTGTCACAATAATCATATTTGCACTTTTTTGCTTATAGGTTGACACACCGGACAGTGTTTTGCAAAGTGGTTTGGGTCTCGGACCCGACATGGGACACACGATACTCCGTTCGATGGTGGATCCTCGAGATTACGACCGACTGCGATACCTACAGATGAACGGTGGCCAAGCGAACAGTTTCGAAGAAACTATACAGAGGGTAAGTTGTACACGTTTCTTTGTATTTTCCGTTATACCGTAACGATGTTTCATTCTTTACACGGACAAAAAACTTGCTCCCATAGTTGAATACTAACTTCCACAGCTAAAAACTAGGTCTGGTAGCTAAATTTCAATTATATTATATGGACAGCTAATTCCTTTTTTCCATGTAGGCAAAGTGCTTTCGACAATTTCCAATCAGGGTCATTATATGTTCGTACATTCATTGTTGACTGTTGATAATTCGATGCATCGCGATGCAGCAATCATGATGCACCAATATTCAAAAATAACGAGCTTAATTAGACATTTTTAATATTACTATGCCTAAGGAATAAAATACCATTAATGCAATCTTCTGCACAATAACGTTTCAAATCACACTTGTTGCCTACATAATTCGCTAAAAATATTTTTTATCTCTCTCTCTCTCTCTCTCTCTCTGGTACATAGTTCAAAGATTAATAAGGAATACACTCAGAAAAATAACTTAGTAATAGCTAAAACTTATTAGCTGGTTTGAATTTTGCAAAAAGCTGACTATTAGAGGTAAAATGCATTTTTGCTGCGAGGTACAACTTTATTAGCTGAAATGATTAGCTAAGATTAGTTAACTGTATCCTCTCCCTGGTTATGCTAGATATAGACAATACGAAAGACATTTATTACATTAATCGACGAAGTGCTGTAATATCTAAGATGATTGATCTAGAAGTCTCGACTCCATCAGATACGATATGATATTAAATCAAAGTAAATAGCTAAATTTCAGTGTAAAATTCAGCATACGCTGAAATCTTAAGGAGAACTTCTGTTAAAGAAAAAAGCAGTAATTTTCTATCGCTATTTCGATTTTAAATATGATATTAATATTATTGTGCGATCTGGTTAATATTTTTCGTTATAGCATCCTAGATTCAAACAGTTAATAAATTTAGCAACAATATATTACTGTCCCCCCTTCAAAGACATACTTTAGCTGCGGTTAGATTTTAGCTCCTATGACTGATTCTTTCTCCGAGAGAAAACAATTTGTGTCGCGCGTCAGAACAGCTGCGAGTAAGAGCCACTCTCTCTCTCTCTCTCTCTCTCTTTCTCTGGGCACAATCCATCGTGATCTGTGAATTTAGTCAGGACGCTCCGAGTCGTTCGCGAGAGAAAGTCGCTTTACCGCCGATAAAACCTTTTTAAACGAAACTTAAGAACGCTTCCATCCCCTTGCATTTTTCAGCTGAAAGTTCAAGAGGCGCTGCGGAAGAAAGAGCGAATCCACAAGGAGCACGAAGAGGTGAGTAGCGCGCGCACGCCTTAAGACGCCCGCATCTTTCTCCCGAGATCCACGCTTTTTTACTAATGAACTTACTCGCGGAGGATCTCGCGCCGATTAAATACGCTCGATCTCCCGGCGCTTCTCCCCCCTCGAAATCGTCTAATGGCTCACTTCCGCGAGAATATATATCTCCCCGCGTTTTCGCGTTTGAGCGAACGACAATTTTCGTTATCGCGCGTGCCGATCGTGATAAGGACGGCGCGCGCGTCGTATCGCGATTAAACCCACTCGCCTCGTTTATTTTCTTCCCGCGATTCCCCCGTGCATTGCCCGGATCATCGGCAACCCTCTTCTCGTCGTCCGACTGATATTGGCCCTGGGAGCCGGTGGCCTTATCCGATACAATCCTGCCTCCCGCATCGGAAATCTCGCAGGACGAAATTTGCATGTATGCGCTATCACCTAGGCCACCTCCTCCCCCCGTTTCACGCGATCCCCTCCTCTTCGGGCTGTCTTTCGCCAACTCGATATCTCTTATTATGCAAAGCAAAGCCAGATCAGCGTGATATCATCATAATCGTCAATGCGTACCGCGACGCTACGCCGTGAATTTCTTATGCGCGATCGGCGCACGATACACGCGCTTTTCTTATTTCCCCGCAACGTGCTTTCGCGCCCGGTCCGCTCTTGTCTCGTGCGTGCGATCGCACGGCAACCTCGCGTAGGTGTTTCAGTACTGCGCGGTTGAAAATATTGATATTTCGCATTGATACGTATCGTAAATAAAAATATCGGATGGGCTATATCGATATTATTTATTTTTATACTCAGAAAACTTGCATCTTTTACAAGGATATAACGTAATTTATGTTTCAATTTAACATCTGAAGATAATTCCAAATAATTATTTTCATAGCAATATTTGTACTTCTTGTTTCTATTGATTAAAAAAAAATGTTTATATATTAAAAATCCTTTATTTATATATCGAGAACTCCTTTTCCCAATATAAAATGAATAATTATAAGGTGGCCAAAAACGACCCAAGGAGAGTTATATGAAATTCTACAGGGCGGCGATGGTTAAAATAAAACGAGGACGATGCAAGGGGCGCCTTGTATTTGAAAGATATTTAATTAGGGCATCGCGGCATTAAGAGCTATAAAGTTCGATGACGACTGGGCTTGAAAATGTTATTAAAAGATAAATTAAAAAAAAAAAGCAGAGAGAACGTCGAATACGTGAAGTACGGAAGATATCAGGGAAGGATAACTTTGCGATAAAATCCATTAGCTAACTCTCGTCGAAGGCTTCTGTGAGAATTTTAATAAACAACCCTTTCACCCGATCTGAACTCTCTTCTCTGAGATTAACTTTGGCAAACAATACCTCTTTCCCGTCGATTTTTGATGATAATCCCAGATAACTCGGTAAAAAGTTTATCGTCGTTAATTTATCCGCGGTATAAAGGAATAAAGGAGTACGGGACCGACTAAATTAACTACTTGAAAGGGACATCCGGGATAACGTCGCGCACGCGCGAGCGACTTTATTAAAAAATTAACTCCGTTAAAAAGTTAGTCGAATGAGCCGTATAAAAGACGTCGAAGCCCACCCTTCTCGATTGCCCGTGCTCTCCCATGCCATTATTTGTTCGGCAAACTTCCTTCATCGTAATTTCGCAAAAACCACGTAACAGTCTAAGAGACCGCACGCGTGAACAACAACGCATTTATTGTTCCGAGTCAAAGAGGGGAAACGACGTCCGGACGACGAATTTTCGTTAATGGGCCGGGTAGGTAGTCCGAAATATCGAACGTGGAGTCCGCATATAGAAAATAACACGGCGGAGAGATACGGAGCGCGTCCTGTAAATTTCAAGGATACCCGGTAATGAGGGAAAAGTGGCGGTTTCGACGCGTAAAACGGAACCGTTTCAACGCAATCACGTATACTGCACGCGGTTCATGCATAAGTGGGCAACGCGCCGCTTCACGCGAGAGGGAACACTCGAGCGGGTCGCATTACACACGCCTCGCACGTAACAACACCGGGACTTAGCCCGCCGCGCGGCTTAGCTCGTTTACGTATGTCGCGTATTCCCGCGAAAATTTCTCCGCTCGCCGTTTGCCAAAAACTGCCCATTAGGAAAGAAGCGTGCGCGTAAAAGCGAAGTAGTAGGCAGTGGAAGGGGGGGCGAACGTCGTTAGTTAGAGTAGCGCGCCAGCACGAGAGTTTTAATTACGCGGACGTAAGCTCCGCGGAATTCTACGGTGTTTAAGAGAAGCTGAAGAGAAGATGGAGGGGAGGCGTCGAGCCGAAATTGCCGAAAACCGGCGGCGTTACGGTAGAGGAGGAAAGCGGCGCTGGAAGAGGGAGGGTTGGGGCGAAAATGAGAAAAGGGCGGAGGGACCGAAGGGAGACATAGGAAAGAAATAAAATGTTCCTTTTTGAGGCTGCGAGCAATATGGAAATAAAGGTCGGTATCCGTGTAAAAGTTTTAGTGTCACCTCTCTACCTCTCGGTGGGTTTATTGCTCCCCGGAGGACCCCTCCTACCTTCCTTCCTTCCTTCCTTCTTTCTTTCCTTCTTTCTCTCTCTTTCTGGCAGTTGAAGCGCCCTTCCTATTCTTCTCTTGCTCCCTCGCCCCCCTTCTCTCTCACTTTGGCTTCTACTTTGGTTCGGTAGGGACCGACACAGCCGCAGGCAACCCCCTCGACAACCTCCTCTTTTCCTTTTCTTCGTTTTCGTCGCCCTCTTCTTCTTCCGCCCGGACCGCTGATCCTCTTTTTTTTTTCGCCCGGAAAACAACCTTCGGCCGGACTGTTCCTCATCAGGAACGTTATTTTCGCAACGTCCTGACCGATAGTCGCTTTTCGTTTTGTACCGCCGAACGGCGCAAAAACCGCGATATATGTACACAGCTCTCTCTCTCTCCTCCCTTTGTATCACCCGCTGCCGTCCTCTCCTCGTCTCTTTTACCGTACGAGGTCTCAAAAACGTCGACGACGGTGGTCCAGTGTGGCCGGATAACGGCGATTATCCCTCGTGAAAGAACCCGCGCGCATGTAAGTTCCCGGTAATACCATTTAGATTACACGCGATTACGGCTACCGGTGGCAGGGCATCCCTCGGCATGAAATTCAGTCCTTAGGCGCGCCATTACTTCAATTAGCTACTTACGTAGAAACGCAATTTGCGTAGAGGCGATACGTAGAAGTACCACAAAGTTTAATGAGATTCTGACATACACTTAAGCAACATTTTATAGTTACATGGCGGCGGAATTGAACTTGATCGTTGCGCTTGAAATTTCGAAAAAAATTGACCCGAGACGAGAAGAGGCGGGGTTAACCCGTGGGTGTGCGTTCGCGTGCTGGGGCACTCAGGTAACAAGTTCTCTTCTTGCTCACGCGGCGATTACCGTCGTCTTGTAATTTCGTGTACCTTCATTTAATACAATTCCCCGGGATATGTAAGTTCTACATTTAAAGATGTCGTGCATTTTGTAATTTTAAGTTACACGTGTCCCGTTATTAATGAAATTTCACTCTCCGTACATTGACGAAATTATCAGAGGAAAAGGTGCTATTATAGCCCTTGTAGGTATCGCGACTTCCCTTAATATCTCCACTATCAGGTGGCGTATTCTACTGAATTCACTTATGGAATCATTTATTTAATATTCCGCCGTTACGTAATGGCGCTAATATTCCAATAGCCGACCTTTCTTATAACGCATTTTTACTTTTTGAGCACACATTTTCATTTTCAAGCTATAATTTAGTTAGACATACCTCCCCATTCTTCTTCTGAGCGTATTATCACACGAATATATATAAATTTGAGTGTTTTATTCGTTATTTAACATTTCGTTCAACTGTACATATTTCGAGTTACGCAAAGTTAAACAATAGCCTGGCATTTTGGTCTTCTAAGACTTTTTCGAGGTTTTGCGAAATATCGAAATAGTCACTCGATAAATCGATTTTAATCTTACGCTGCTGTCTCATTTTTGAGAAAATCACCCTCCTCTTCCCTTTTTTTCTCTCTCCATTACGCGAGATCGACTCGTTGTATACGAAATGAACGACAATCTGTATCCCGCGATCAATCTTTTACTCCCGGCGGCGCGATCGATAGACGGGATATCGAGCGCGCTAAAATAGCAGTTTTAATCGCGACAAACATTTATCCAGGACCTCGTCATTGTGCTGTTTCAGATACTGAGGGATATCCGGCAAGGTTTAATGCAGCTAGGACGAGACGGACGGGGTCAGCTCCCTGGAGGTAAGTACATCAAGGAATAACCTCCAGCTAGTTGTCGCCTCGTCTCCTCCACGACCTATAACCCGCCCTCCTTGTAGGTGCGCGGAAGACATTCGTGCACGTTGAACAAAACGCGCACGTGCCGGCGCCGGTATGAGAATCGACTCCCAAATGCCTGACACCTCGTACGGTAGCCTCTCACTCTCGCGAGACTCATTTTGAGCATTCGTTTCCTGATGGCTCCCCTCGTAGTCTTTTTCAAGAAATCTCGCTCCCCGTAGCCTCAGCAGCTTTTCGCGATAGAGTGGAAGCGCGCCGGAATGACACCAACGCCTCGCAAAAAGGCGCTTGCAACGAAAAAGAGAAAAGCTTTCGCGTTGTAAAGTTTCGCCCGTGGCTCGCATCGAACGCGAGAAAAGAACGAAATCCGAACGATGCGCGATATAAATCCAAATATAAGAGAAATCGCGCCGCGAGGAAAGCTGAATCGTCGTGTTTGGAAACGCGATCGATAATTGTTACCTACTATTGTTTCGATTATGAAATGTACACTGAAAGAAAAAAGTACTACCGTTCAAGTAATATTTACTTGATCCGAGTGAAATGGTTACTCCAATATTCCTTGGAAAATATTTACTAGAAGTAGAAATATATGATATTTCCTCCGTGTAAATATACATTTTCTTTAATATGTATATATTAAAAGGAATTAAATTCAATATTCATTCGATATTGAGAACATCGGAATTTATTTTCAGAAAATATCCGTTGGACGGAAAGATTAAAATTTAAAAAACTAGGTTTTTCCAATGAAAAAAAAAAGTATTACATACATATATACAAGTATACACTTAAATTCATTAATTAATTTACGAATCAAAGTATTACTGCGTCAAATAAATATTTACTACAAGCTATTAAAATATTTTTCTATTTAAGAAGCTGAAAAACAGGTAATTACGTTTACTTGATTCTAGCATTTTTATTCCGTGCAGGAAATAAAATTTACACGGAAAATAATTAATAAATCAAGTGTAATTCTTGTTTGTTAAAATATCAGTTGCTGTTGCTCGAGAAAAGAAACGCGTGTTTATGGAAATAATAACGTAAGAATTTACGCGACTGGAATAATCGAAGTTGATAAATGCGGCCAATGTGTGTGATTTCGCGTGTTTCAGCATGGGTGGAACATCCTACCGCGAGCTCTATGCTCTTTATTGTCGATTTATCACCACCGCTGTGGTTTTATTTCCTATTCACAAAGGCCGCTGCGGCGTGGCCGCGTCGTGAAGCCCCTCGTACATGCGAACTAATCTTGTTATTGTTAGCGCCCGCCACCTTCATTTCCCAAAACCCTCTTTGCCACTCCTGTCTTCCTTCACACGACTGCGCTTGTAATTCCTAGGTTTCTACGCCGAGGAGATTTGAATTTTCTAAATGTACGATTTAATTTCGGTGACATTGTGTTTGAACACACAATACAGAGTATTGCTCGGCCGTTTGTAATTTCTAACGAAAAGGAGAATTGTATTTTGCGATAATTAACATGTCCGCAAATTGAAAAAGGCAGAATGAAACGTTGACATTCGCAGACGACACGTATATGTACGACGAAGACGCGCGATGTGGAGGTGCTGGTGGTTTAGGCCCCGGACCAGGCGGTCAACACTGGTACGACGAACCACCCTACGAGTCGGATCCCGAAGACTTTCTTATGGGGGCCAGTGGCGGCCCGGTGCCTACCGCGACTATCCAAAATGGAAGGTAATGTTTCCGACAAACTGTGATTCGATCGCGCATGGGATCGTCAACATTAATGAGGAGAACGCGATTGAACCGCAGGGTATGCTTCACGCTGAACCTGAGGCCGGAGAACCGGGGCGAAGGTGTGATCTCTCTTCGAACAGCCGGCGATATCAGCTTGCCGCGCGATCGTTCGAGGAAAGGTGCGACGTCGACGATGCGAGGTCTCATCGTTCCTCAGGGTCACAATAATCCGCCGACGATTATACCCCTGACACACTCGAGGGCCTCTCGTGAGAGCGGAGATTACGCAAGTAGCGACGTGCAGGTAAGTCCAACGGCTGCTACCGTCTATCGTGTCGCGAGCGGCGGAACATTTGAATCTCGAACCAGGATAATAATCGCGCGATTCGGCTGACTCGAGATCGTTCCGCCGCTCGAGATTAACGAATCACAAGTAAGTCACGAAGCTATTATCGCGCTCAATGTCGAAGTATCGCCGTTAGATCGCAGCGGAATTACATTAGTCACTAGTGTTGTGTACCACATGTGCCGCCCTGCACGTTCGTTCATGGGAAGGGGGAGACCTTCTCTCGCCGGCCTACGTCACGGCGTGATTTATTTAATTTTGGGGCTGCAGAGTGTGAGCTCGAGACTGTCGACTGTGTCGGTGGACACGAGTAGGAGCGACCAGCCACCTCCGGTGGCGGGCGCGCGCCATCCAGCCGACCGGCCGGAGCACCACCACGAGCACCGTCACAACCATCGCCACCATCATCACGAACATCACCATTCGGTCTCACCCCGACCCAATCAGCGTCACCCCGCCACCACTAGCACGACCGTTACCGCCAACACCGCCGACGCAACGTCACCGCAAAGCAACGCGCAACGTCGCCCGGTTCCCAGATATGTTCGTATTTGCGAATCTATGGATTACGTAGATCTCACCCCCTCATCATCTCGACCGGTTTCCACACTACTAACCCACTTCTCCACGCGTGACGCGTGCGCTCAGTCCATTACGTATGTATACCGGTCGGGCGTCTTCGAAACGGCAGATTACACGAGCGGCGTATGGTGCCGACGCACTCGTGAATATGCATTTTTCGCCCCGCTTTACGGGAGAACGCGATTTCCGTGGTTCTCTACTAGAGTAACGAATCCAGCCAGCTGCGGCTGGCACGTTTGAGAAAGAGAGACTCAGTTCATCGAGGCCACTCGATCCATCCGTCGGCCGGACAATGGGATCCCGCGATTTGCGGATTGTCGGCACGGTCGCTTCCTCCGAGCAAACGCTTTTCTTCATCGACTTTATGACAATCGGCGTCCACGATTGTACGTCGTTCCGTTTCGATCATCGCGAGAAATCATATTTCTCTGACTCGTCCGACGAGTAGGACGTAATGCATGTTTAACAATTAGACTGCCAGTTTCGTGACGTGAGCAACCGTGTATACAGTCGAAACAAACGATGCATTCAATGAAAGGGTGATGGTATCTATTTCTACCCTATCTCTTGTGTTATTTAATGTAATTTATTCTTGAAAATCTGATATAATAACAACCGTTATTATGCATGGCTTGTTTTTCAATATGTCACGGAAAATCTATGTAAGTTCGATCATTTTATAAAACAAGCACAGTGAAACGTTTTGTGTTAAATTTAACGCATTTCCTAAAACCGGTCCGTACAAATTTTTACGTTAATTAAACACAGCGAATATGTTGACAAATATTACGTCAAAAATTAACACAAAATTAATATCTACATCTATATGTTAATCGACATTAAAGTATAAAATATGTTATTTTAACATTTACACATATTGAATATCGACTCAACATAAAATATTGAAATAACATACTTAAACATAATATGTTAAATTAAAACACGGACATTTTAATTAGAAATTTAACACAAACAAGGACCGATTTTAACACGAGTACAAAATATTTTTTACCGTGTGCAATGTTTATTTTTTTTTTTTACATTAAAATATATTGTGTACAAATGATATTTTTTCGTTTCCACGTTTAATATCTCTGTATATAGTTCATAAAATTATTCCTATTTCGTTTATTAAAACCCTCGCTTATAAATGGGTGACAACAGTCTAAGTGTTAATGTCAACCTGGATATTAAAAATTACGAGATGGAGATGTGTGTCCAATTTTCCAAAAATACGAGATCTCCTTTTTGCATGATCTCGCAGTGCATAATTCTGGAAATGTCGTAGAAAATAGTAGAGAAAGCTCGAAGGTGTCGGGAAAGATCGATACTTAAAGAATTCACGACCTCGTTAGTCGATTTATCTCTTAACTACAGTTGAATCGCGATAGCCGAGCATTATAATAATCGGGCTTGACGTTCGAGCGAAAACCCTAGGACCTCATAATCTGATCATAACAGCAGAATAAGGTGCCTCATTTCCTGCTCTGACGCCCACACAGCACTGACAGCCTCTATATGTATAAATAATACTCACACACTGACACGCCAATATTAAGTATATCACTAACTCATCTAGACCGGCGTAGCCTGCATACGCTATTTATTTCTCATGTAACACGCAACTCCCCCCTTCTACTAATATACATATATCGAATGTAACGTAAGGGATTAACATGACGTAACTCTTGTGTATTTAACCCCGTGTACATTTGCTGCTATTCTTTAGCTTCTTACCATGCGAGGGCTATCTCGAGAAGATTTTCCAGTCGTGTTGCAAAAGGACTCTCTCAACACTTTCCAAATATTTCAAGGAGAACTTATAATATTAAAAAAATAAACAAAGAGATTTTGGCCATACCTCGTGACATGTTTGACTTGTTACAATGCTGACAAATGTACAATTAGATGACACATCTATATTATATATAGACATCAGATAGTATTACTACTGGGAAAAAATCTGGACCAAGAAAGAAATATTCAAAATTGCACATTTTCGTACGTAACGATTGAATATATATTAAATAAGAGGAACATCTACTTCTGTATGATCGTGCGTTACAAATCGGAAAGATTCTTGATAGCCCTCGCACTTGCACGTACGGTAAAATATCTTTTAGAATCGGTACTGTGTGCCTCCCATCTGCTATTTATCATTGGTGACAATATTGCATATTCGGGTGATATATCCATAACTCTCATCTAAAAACACCAGCGCGCTATTAGACCCATCATAGTGTCCGCTTTTCCCTTCATTGCGCCATTAGAGTCGTCTCTGCGAGTATCAACGTTTTAGAGCCGGAGTAGCGGCGAGGAGGGACTGTCGCCGAGCCAGAGCAGCGACTACGAGGATCAAGAAGAACTCGAGAATCAACACTCGGCCGCCGTGCACACAGTACGTGACATATGAGAACGTTCAGTTTATCCGTTTGCGCTGTTTCTCCCTTCGCCGTTTCTGCGTACTCGTACGCAGCCTCTCGATCACCATTACGCGAAGGACGCGCAAGAGCGAACGATGTCCAAGCAACGCAATAACCGAGAAAAATACAGCAAACCCGACGATTAGTAGAATCGCGAAATATCGCTTCTTCCTCCTCTCGCTCCTACGTTTGATCATGCGGAGATATCTTCCTAAATTTTTCGCGCAAACGGCATTACAAAATATTTCCCGCTTCGACGCCTGCGTTTTGAGAGCAATGAACAAATCGAAATTTTGTGAGAGTATTCATTGTTGTCCATCGTTATTAATAGACGAGTAATCTCACGAAATAATTACGGATCTCGTTTGGAAACCTCGAGTGTCGCGCACAGTTACGTTGTCGATTTCCCGTCGCAACTTTGGTCGTATGGTCAGTCACAAAAAAGTTGTAACATTTTCGTACGCGTTTATTTTTGTACACATTAATAAATGATGATTATAATTTTTTTTTTATTTTAGGACGCATTCCGCGTCCAATAGGAGAATTTGTTTTTCAATCATTCTCAGCAGATACGTTTTTTTTTTTACTATTGGATACGAAATTGCGAAATTCATCAGAAAAAGTGTCGCAATTGACCATACATCTTAATGAGCATGTTCGTTATTGGGCTAACACGCTGTTATATCGACGTGTAACATGCGATTTTTCACATACACGAGTGTAACATCGATTCGCCGCTATTGCGTGTGCAACGTATGAATGGAGGATCGCGTCGCGTTCTAACGGATCAGATAGCAATCGATGCGCGCGAAATTGGTAAGCTCGATTCTAATCCTGAACACGCGTATTGATTTAACGCTTCTCTTCGCGCCATTTATCCATTCCGTTCCGTTGACGCAACTCTGTGTGTGTGATGTTCCAGCGTCGCGAAAAATACGTAAGCTAATACGAAGCGAAATCTCGCCTCCAACATGCTCACGAAATTATACAGTCATAACATGTTGCGCTCTCTCTCTCCCAACCGACAAGTCGATGTCAGCGCGCACATTAGGGGCGAGAAGAGGATCGTGTGTCTTTACCAAAGCCTCTAATCAGAAACGCGAGACAATTGTCTTTTATTTTCATCCAGCTGCGAGTTCGAAGAGTTACGTGAAAAATTTCATCTGTGAAAATATGTTTCGCGAAGGACCGATCGTGAGGCCGAGAGACATACGCCATGAAATATACTACATTCACTTCCTTAACTCGCTGAAGATGGCCTAAAAATAGGGACTGAAACATTTAACGTGCCTAATTTATGTTAATTTTAATTCGACTAATGAACAATTAAATTGATTTAAATTACGTTTTACTTGCCCGTCATTGTTATTATTTTTCTGTATTGTAACCATATGTTCGTAAAGACATTATTTCAGTAAGAGAATAAACTTGTTGTATTAAGGCAAATTCATGGGGCGCATACAAGGTATCAGCATAGATAAATTTAGTAATAGAACAAAAAAATGCCATTTTGCGTAGAGGACTTTTTTGTTCAATCCGTTCGGACACCCTATATATCAACTTGTCCTTCGTGGCTTAATAATTTAATTTCGGAAGACGTGTAGCGGGACAGTTTTCGCGATCGCTCCGTACGACATTCCAGGGCGTCATAAATGCATTATTGCTCGGAGATCCTTATTTCACATAGCTCCTCGATTTAATTAACGCGGCGCTCTTTTCTCGATGCATTCGATGGGGCACGTATTCTCGGCGCGCCGCTGTTCTCCAAAACTCAATTAAAATTTCCAGTCGGAGGCCAGCGCGCTGCTGGAGGGCGACGCCAGGGCGGGAATCGCCGGTCGAGCGAGGAATTTGAGGCACGACGTGCAGCGAAAGATCTCGAGGCTGCGCCAAGACCGCGCGTCCTCGGAAGCTTTCCCGTGCAGCGCGAGCAGCGTCGAGAGTCTCCCGAGCGGAAGCGGCTCCAGCACGCAGGCATTGGTCCGCGCAGGAAGCAATCACAGCTCGATATCCTGCGAGGACCGGGATGCCATCAGCCCGACGTCCATCGGCCCGGTTCTCTGCAGAGCGAGAGCGCTGGTGGACTACACTCCTAGCCCGTACGACAAGGACGCGTTAAAGTTCAAGGTCCGTAACAATTGACTTACGTCAAAACGGCGACCACGGCGTCTTTTGTTCAAAGTCACTCGATAAGGGCGACGCAAGAATGATGCCGCCACGGTTGTTTCCAGAAAGGGGACGTAATCGATGTGGTGCAGATGAACAAGAGCGGACTGTGGAAGGGCGTCGTGCACAACAGGATAGGCCACTTCAAGTTCATAAACGTCGAGATACTGAACGACAGGGTGCCCAGGCGGGGAGAGCCGGAGCGGGGCAAGTGGGGTCAGAGATACAGGCAGAAGCCGGGCTCCGTTCAAGAGCTCTTGCAGCGAATGAATCTTCAGGTAGAGAGCAATATCTCGCCGCGGCTCGAACAAACTGATTCGCATTTGCATGGCGTCGAATGCAAAGTAGAGAACCTGCTTTTATACGTTTCTTTATTCGGTGTCGCGCCTTCTCCTTTCGCCCCGCGAACGTTCGCATCGGCTTTCCAACTTATACAACTCGCGGGTTCCGCAGACCATGACGTTTTGTTCGATCTCCCCCTTTCTCTCCCTCCGTTTATCGCTCCTTGCCTCCGCCTTGCTCATTTTTATCCTCACCTACACCCATATATTCCCGGGAGTTCCTTCCTTCCTTTACCTTCTCTCTTTCGATCGTTCATTCTCTCTCCGACCAACGTTCGATTTATACCGAGTACCAAGACAGGTCATTGAATATTTTTCTTAACCGCGGATATGAAAGATTAAAATAATAAGGACGGCCAAGATATTTACGGCATTGGTTGAATTTCTTTAGTATAGAGTTTTATTTTCTAATAAATTTTCATTTCACTTCATCTTGATAGACACGTTGCTCAAGCTCGCTAAATTTCGTATCGAGTGTTAAGAACAATTTCTTATTGCCTAGCATAAATTCGCGACGGAATTCACACAGTTGAAAGTGTATCCCGTCGACGTAATTGTGGAACGTCCCGTACAGCATTGCGATTCGGCACGAGATAAGGGACTCGATCATGATTCACTGTCGAACGTTCAAGAGTCTCGTACCGAGCGAAGGGGTAGGGAACAAAATGGTAGGAGCCACTGTCCCGGAAACGTCGATTCGAAAAGCCGTATCACTTAATTAAGCCAGCCACTATGATCGATCGTTTAATGAGCACCGTCAGATTTCTCTCGACGTTCCGGTATACACTTGATTGAAGTTCTAAATGTGCGACTTACATTTTTTCTTCTCTTGCATTTCGCACGACAGTACAGTCTTAAAACGTTCCGAAAATGCTATTTCGGCTCCTTTAAATCAACTCACGTTACAGCCATCGCATTAAATCGAACTTGCCGTTCAAAGATTTGCGCACGCTTTCATTACGTGCATTTCGCGACAGGGGGAAAAAAATATATTTTCGGCGCATGGATTATAGTTCCCCGACAAATCAGATTTTGTTCCACACAGGTATATATATTTACAATGAAGCATTAAACGCAACGAATCGGCGTAAATCTTTTGAGCTTTCTAACCTTAGTGCAAGTCGTTAACTTGGAGAAAAAATTCTCTCCGTATTCCGAAAATGTGTTCTCCAAGATTACATCGTTTTCAGTGCGTTTCCCGATGAAAGCGCGTCGAGGTGCGCGTGGGGTACCGCTGTCGTGCGAAATTCGTTGTTGCGAGTAACTATTCAAGGCTCCGTTAAGGTAGAAACAGTATCTCAAAGATGAATGTTACGCGCAGGAACATATTCCAGTTTTTGTGCTGAACGGATACGAGGATCTGGAGCTCTTCAGGGAGTTAGAGGCGGCGGATCTGGACTATTTGCGTATACATCAGCCCGAGCATCGCGCCAAGATACTCACTGCCGTGCAGCTCTTGCACGATCTGCAGTGTGAGTATATGCTACATATTCACGTTTCCCACAAGCCCTTTTCATCATCGTCTCCCCCACGTGTGTCGAGTTACAATTAGTATGCGCGTCTTCGAAAAAAAGATCCGCCGTAATTTCCTTCGAGACGAAAATAATCTTCTCTCTCCTCCGTTATCATAGCACAAAGAACAATTAAGAGCGTAATAATCTCGTAACCCAAGCGCATCCTTAAGAGCCCCGCGAAAAGATAAAAATAAGAAGTTACGAAACTTCATTTTTCGACCTTCCGCCCGTTTTTATTCGCCGGGAGATAAAAATTTATGGAGATAGCGTGCTCCGGAGAAACGCGTCGCGTGCAGATAACAATATAATAATAATGTACGTGCGCGAAATGCTAACTCGAAACTTCGCTATCAAAATCCGCTAATTGTTACCGGCGCGCGCTTTTATCGAATAATTGGCCGCATTAATAACAAACTCTCCCATCATTCATCATGACGTGGGAATCGTGTTTTGATCAGCCACGAGATCTCACGCGGCCTTTTTCCTCCTGTCCTTACAGCGGGCAGCGAGGGCGACCTGGCCTCGAGTTCAGAGGGCGACGAGGTCAACCGTCTGGTCTTAACCTCCGGCCAGACGTCCGGCCACTGTTCTCCCTTTAACCGACGCCAGTTCCCGCGGGACTCGGGCTGCTACGACGCGCACAAGAATACGACCAGTCGGCGGACCATCAGCCCGGAATCAACGACCACGTCGGCGAAGGTGTCGAGGGAGAACAATCTGGACGGCGCGACGTCGGCGGCCGCGAAGAACGCTGCCGGCGCGGTCGCCGCGGAGGGCGCGGACCCGAAGGATGACTTCCATCCTAACATACCGATCGCGAGCGCGAGCCAGAAGGAAGCTCAGTTCGAGAAGTCGCCGTTGCTGCGCAGCGGCAACGTGCGTTTCATCGCGAAGAGGGGCAACTTCGGCGAGACGGTGGTGATCGAGGACGCCTGCGAGGCCGGCCAGAAACTCGCCGGCATGGTCAAGTACGTGGTGGGCGGTAGCAGCGACCTCGAGGCCGCCGGCAACGTCACCGGCCTCGGCCAACGCGGCTGTCTCAGCGAGAAGTCCAGCGACTCCGGCGTCAGCTCGTCCAGCATCAGCTCGGCGCCGCCGCCGCGGGACAAGGTGCTCGCTTCCGCTAGCGCCGCGTCCGACTCGCCGACCAAGAATTTCGGTAGCTTTACCAGGGCGTCGCCGACCTCCCAAGGTGGCAGCAAGGGTCATGACGGGGGTTACCAATGAGAGAGGCAGATCGGGTCGACGAGTCGCGGCGCGACTCTGAGCGCGAGACTGAAGACGGCGGAGGTAAGGGAGTCGCGTGATTGACGCAGGAGACTTTGCTTCGACTTCGGGGTCCATACAGAGAAAAAGATCTCTTTGGATTTAATCAAATTTCTTTCATTGAAATTAATTTCTCTCTTGGAATGGGGCAAACAAACGGATGTTTGATTCAGAAAATAGGTCAAACAGGAAAACAGTATCTTTACGTCGGATGACATATTTCTTTTTTTTTTTTTCATGCAAGTATTACAGTGGTTGTCAATCAATTATTTAAATGAAGTAACATTACGCCGGAAAAATATTAACTCTCTAATGGCAAAGTGGTTTTTTTCAGAGCGTTTTTCCAAGTGTGTTTTACTACAATTATTTGAAGTCGGCTAGTAAACTTGATTTTTTTCATCTATAAATAAACTGAGGATGAAGTTTTATATTATTATTTATTTCTTTTATCTATGTTGTGTATTAATTGGATGAAAAATGAACAAAATGGACTCCAACCTTACCACCGGTAAAAACTTCTTTATTTCAGTAGAACAATATTTAATATGCAACGAATAATTTTTTTTTTTTTTTTTTTGGAAAACCAAATATCATTTCCTCCAAATAATACTGTTTTTGTCTATCAAACAACACGATTTATTCTATTGAAACAACATTTTCATTCCGACAAAATGATATTTGATATTAAATTACGTTGTTTATATCAAGCAAACACGTATACAAAATCCAAAGAAACTTTTTTACCGTGTACGATTCTAATTTGGGATCGACTCGAGATTCGCTCGAGACTCGGCGAGACTCACACGTGACTCTCGAATCGGAGCACGGCAGGTTTCTTCCATTCCGAAAAAGCAATTGTCGGTATTTACCGCCTCATGTCATCTCGGCCCCAGCGAGCGGTACGCAAAAGCAATATCTCATTTCTCGTTATTGTTGTCGAAGGAGCGCCGCGGATTTCGCTTCGTTTGATCATTCTCGTCACGAGCGCGGGAGAAAGGTGCGCAACGACGCGGACGGAAATTCTAATATCTCTCGACGCGGCCCGATATTAATGTCGGGGGAACATTTTGTTATTCCGCATCTCGCATATTTGGACGCGGCGGGAAGAACTGAGGCAAGAATCACGCGAAACGAGCGAAATTCCAGCAGTTGTAACGAGGGCTCCCCGGGGAGAGAGAGGTTTCCTCTTCGCGTTCGGCTCGCAGCGAGAGGCGCATTCGACGAGTATGGAGCGAGGTCGAGCAGAAAATGACGTCACTGCCGGTCATCCTCGCGATGTTACGCACCGTTCGGAGCGACGGTCTCATCGCGCGCCTACGTAATCGTGCATAATAAATAATAAGCGAATACTATATGTGATACGGTAGCAATATATACGATCGATTAAAACGAGTAGGTAGAGAGAGAGAGAGAGAGAGAGAGAAAGAAAAGAAAACGCGCTACTCACGTTCTATTCGCGTGGAGAAAAATAAAAGGAAGAGAGAGAATGGATAATAAAGACGCGCGCCTGTTAGTTTTGATTTCGATTTTATCTGTCGGTTTCATCTTTGCCAGCAACGACCCCCGCTATTAATCAATCACTGCGAAGTATCGTGTATAGTTCGTCCGCTACGAGCTCGTTAAAAACTGCCAACGCCATCGAGTCCCGTCTCTCTCACACGCGTGCGGGACGATTCTTATATCCCGTGTATCTTTAAACTCTCCGCACGTTCGATCGATCTTATCGCCGGAAGAACGTGTGCGAACGAATCGCCGGGACAGTTATGAATTGTCTCGACGACGCCCGAGACGAATTTCCGCTTAGTAGCGCGAATATCCACCTTATATCCGGTGATACAGACGGATTACATTCGGATCACAGGATGCCTTACGAGCGTTTTTTACTTACTTAGCTTATTTACGCGATGCGTGCAGTCACACACGGAAGGGGTATCGCCTTTTTTACTTTTTCCGTATAATTTTTCTACGAAGAGAAATTCCCGCGAAGGAACTCGGCACCGATTAAAGAAAGAGAGATGAAACACTCGAACTTTGCTTTTACTACGATCGACAATCCCCATCGTCGATGCGACTACGTCAGTTCTTCGACACGATGGTAAAAACCTGTACATGTGTATATTGACCACGCCGCGCGCAGAGGAGGAACGTGTTGAAAGTTACAGAGATTTTGTATGTACATAGAGATTATTATAGTAACGATGTAACGATGTTTTGTATTGATCTTGCCCGTTTGCCAAAACTTAAGACTAGACTATATCGATATATATATAGTACCGTTGGATCTTATGTACATCTCTTGTATAGTGTAAAATCGTAGATGAATTTACGAGACGCGGGGGCGCGCAATCAGGAGAAAGGGCTGCGGGAACAGATATGGGCAGAGTCGAGGAGAGCCCGACGGATAATAATAATAAGTGATAAGTTTTCACTGTTACGAGAAGCGTTGTTATTAATTGTAAGACACGTGGAGAGGAGCGAGCGCGCACCCCGACAAACCGTATAGCCGCGCGGTTACACTCTCCGCGGTACGTTGCGCTCAAGTCATTGCGCGTAACAGTTATCGCGCAATTGTCGTAAATTAAAAAGAAATCGCCGCCAGACTCTCGCGTCCCCCGAGGTGCGACAATCGCTTCACACCTTTTACACCACGTCGTCATCTACGTAAAGTAGGATCGCGTAGGTGCTTCTTCTACAAATATCGTCCGCCGCGCTTATAATCGCATCACGGAGGGAAGCGAATTGGAGGAAGACGAGGAGGGAGGATACGAGCCGGTCAGAAGTCGGCTGCGCTTAGCTCGCGAGTTGCTTCCATCGATCAACGCGACACGCTCAATCGCGGCGCGTAATTTCGCGATCGAGAGCTTTCTCACGATCTCGAGAACGAGATTTCATTCGCGTGCGGTCCGCCAGAGTGGGCCGGTTTTTTCTTTCTTTTTTTTTTTCATCGAAAGATGCCGAGAGGGAGGACGCTAACTGACACGTCGGTCTCGGTGACGTCTGCTAGTTTATCCGTTCCATCGAGAGTAATAATACGTGTAGTGGACGATTATTATTACGAGAGAAAGAGCGAAATGGTATGGAGAAGAGATGCTTGCGTGCGAGAAAGAGAGTGAGTGAGTGAGAGAGCGAGAGGGACATACGAGGCGATGTTGAAAATTAGTAAACGAGTTTATGAGAGTACGAATATAGACACGATAGTGATTTTATTAGCTCGGGAAATTACGCAGCATTCGATGTAAAGTAAATTCATTCTAATCGTAGACCCAAGGCGCAGTAATCGCAATAGATAATTTAAGCGAACGAACTTTCGAAGGGAGTGGAAGAACCGACGCGTTTGAAGAAGACTGTCGCAGCGAGAGAGAGAGAGAGCGCGCTCTTCGAGACGAAGCGATCGGTAAAGACTCGATCGAGGGAGGAAGGCGCTCAGGGTCGCCGAGTTGCTAGCGAAGGAAATTCAGCGTTTACGTAGCGGTCTAGTCCATTTTTCTCGCGTGGTTAACAAACGACAGGATATATAATGTACATAAAGTAAAGGAAATGAGTAAAACGAAGCGAAAATGCAGATTCTAGAGAGAGAGAGAGAGAGAGAGAGCACGGCGGTCGCGACTAGCGCGCGTCTCGCTGGACCTTTTTATAAGCTGATTTTGTATTTATTAGTTAATTGCGGGGTTTATATAGATGATCATCGACACGAATCAACACACATAATTCTTATCGTCTCTCGGTTCTCGTATGGTTTCCAGCGATAAGTGTTAATTTATTGACTGTGAATAGAAATAAACGATGGAAGATTCAAACGTGTCCTCGTGTCGTGCGTACCTCATTTCCCGATGTATGCCTCGGTAAACTTCGTCTGATTGTCCCCCGGCGAAGAAGCAGCTGCGTCGCGAACGGTAAGTGCTTCATTAAGGTAGTGCGCCTATATACTATAATCTTTTAATTGAAACAATTGATACGCACGCGTATCACCTCGTGGGGAATATTCGTAATTAACCTCGCGTCGATAACGTCCTCAGTCTGTTGTGCACGAAAAAATATTATAAATTACCACAACATTTTATAATGTTGGATCATATTGGAATTATAATTGAAATTATGTATTTTTAGTGACGTATTTCATGGTCAAATATTATTATAAAATTTTGTGGTAATTTTTACCACGAATAAAAGGACGTGTTCTAATTGTTTTGGAAGAGCACAATAATTGAATGTTAATGTTTCGATAAATCAAACATTACATGAAATTATACAAAAAAAAGAAGGTCACTCTCATTCAAAATAATATCGTGTCCAATGAACGTCTTAGCGCATCATTACGTTACGTTGATAAAGTTACTGACCAAATCGCAATTGTTGAATCAATTGATGGCTCACAATTACAACAACAACAATGTGTTCAATGGACTAAACGCTTGAAAAAAACGTTTAAATAAAATTTCGTTGATTCTATTACTTTTTTTTTCACTGTAGAAAAATCCGAGAAAAGAAATAAGAGATCTTTGCAGATCTGCATCTTTGATATCTCTTTGATATCTCTATCTTGAAATCTTGAAATTTGTCTCCAAGTTACGATCTACAATAAGTGCTCCAAGCCTTAAGAAATTGACCAATTATAGTCACGAATATGAGGAGAATAATCTCGACTGTGATTGGTCAACCTCTCAAAGTCTAAACTCTCATTGTAGACCCCGCTGAAGAAATTTCATTCCGGACTACGTTGACTACGTTCAGATATTTTAGTCTATCGATTCGTAAACGAGTTTTCCGCGCCCTCCGTCGCGTTGCAGTGTATTTTAAGAAGTCCCGCGACACTATGTGCAACGACCGCCCCACACGCACATACTGAATTAATTAGAAAGGCAAATCGCGCTCGCTTGAAACAATGCAAAACGCGTATAAGACGATGGCGGCGCGTCCCGCCGTTCTTGCGGCCGTGTTCCGCGGAATACTCGCGCAAATGGAATAATTAGACGCTTCTTGCTCGATTAACGAGCTCCGCTCGACAGTAAGCGTTACGATGTCGTTTCATAAGTACGCGACACCTCCTTTCCTCTCGCCGGCTTTAACGCTGCCACGTGGGGCCATTAGCGGGAGGAAGTTCCGAGTGACGGACGACTTCGCGTCCGCTGCTAGTAACTCCGCGAAGCTCGCAAACTTTGCGCTTTGGTTATCTGCCGTTACTTGGCAAGATCCTCTTATTTAACTATCTTCCTACTCGCTGTTGCTCGTAATTGTGGAAACTCACACAGCGATCTCTCGCCGGACGAGCAGTACGGACAGTCCGACGCAATGTGACGATCGTTAATCCTTCAACGCTTTCTGGACGCATCGAACGTCGTCGGACCACACTCTTGCTTGTGTATCGACCCTACATTAGGCAGCGGCTGCCATATCAATGTTTCTACGTTATCCGTGATAATCTCCGAAAGAGAAACGACGCAGGAAAATATTGGGTTGATGCGAAAGTTCGTTTCGTTCATTAGTTAAAATGTGCGTGTAACATTTACTTATTTTAAAATAATCAATTTTGCACCGTTTTGGCCGACGACTTGCCATTTCTCTGGTTGCAGGTTCTCTAGCTGCATAATCCCGTGCTCGCACACGGAGAAAAAGGCCTCATTGGATTTACGTGTTCGCCTGGCTTGTTAGATTCATTTAATATAAACAACATAATTTAATATCAAATATTTTGCTTGAATGGAAATATTGTACTCTCATTAGAGTAAACCACGTTGTTTGATAAAAAAAAAAGTGTTATTTAGAGAAAACAATATTTTGTTTTCAATCAAAGAAAATGATATGCGACGTGTTAAATTAAGCTAAATTGTACATTTTACGCATCGGTTGAACGAAGGATGTGCTCATTGTCTCTCTGTGCAATTAACGTCGCTGCGCTGTACCGTTAATTGGCGATAATGAAAGGTCTCGCGATTTTACTATCTACCGCGTTAATTGACTGCCCGTTCGTTCCATCGGTCGGGCGCTTCTTCAACGTCATGTCGTCGGGGAAAATGTATCCGACCAGTATGTAGCTGAACTTGCCCGGCCGGAAGAACGGTCGCGGGACAAGCCGGACGGACGGACGATCTCCCAAAGAAAGTACGATAAGAAGCATTTAGTAATGTATGTAAATGCACCCTCCGAGAATCGTTCCGAACGTTACGGCGTGTACGTGTCCATTCGTAAGCTTTATTTCGTACCTCGAGGGACAGCGGGAACTTTTAGTGCGCTAGATTATGACGGTAATAACTCGACGAGTTTCTTTGCCCGCCGCTCGTCGTCCACGTGAACAAATTCTTCATCCCCCGAGGGTGAGATCTAATTTAACTTTTAGGGTCGCGTCTCGCGCAATCACGACGGACTTCTGGTAACCCAGCTCGACCGTGAGCGTGCACGAATTCAGTTACATCTGTATCATTCGCTTCATTACATCTCGTTTGCTATGAAAAGCGCCGCCTAAGAATTTTTCGCTTTATTAGTTTTTGTGAATACGAAGTGACGACACGGTGTCGTTTTTTTTTCCGCGAAGGTAGCAACGTGTCAATTCGTAAATATAAAAGATTGCAACGTTTCGCATAAATCATTCAAGAAATCGTCAACCTCGATCTCGACGATAGAATGTTCGGCTGTACGAAAATTTATTCGCGGCACTGTTATTAATGTAACAAGGAAAAATATCATTCTATTCAGAACAAAACATTTTAGTTGAGTTGTGCATGAATATAAAGGAAATTTTATGTTAAAAACGGAACATAAAAATTTTGTGTTACTGTGAGGAATGTGTTAAAAAGTACACAGATATGATTATATTACGAATCCTGAGAAAGTTAATTAAACAATGTGGTTGAAGTTTGGAGCGACCTTGAACGAAAAAAAAAATTCTTTTTCAAGTTTAACCTCAGCAAAAAAAGAGCAAAAATAAAGAAAAAAAATCGCTATATTCGCTTTATACGATCATGATATTATTTCGTTCACGGTCGCGACTATAATTCCGATCAAGTCGTCCAGGCACGGCGCTCTTATCTCGCCGTAATTTTAATAATGTAATCGAACCGCATTTTCACTGTATTTCTCAACCGAGATTTATTACTCGCGGCGTTGCCGCTATAAATCGACATCGCCGTCTACGGCCCGGTCTCAGTGTTATCGGGCGCGATCGCTTATACTTTGCGCGGAGACTTTCGTACGTCCATAACAACCTTAATTACTGTCCACGCTAATGAATCAACGGAGATATCGCTATTGGCGCATAGCTGAGCTCCGTGCGTGAGAGATTATCGCTTCGCACCCAAGGCGAGATAAAACCGTCCCCTTTCTTTCTTCTCCGCTTGCTCCCCTCACCGCGAGGCGTTGCGCCGAGGGAGCTGCAATCGGTTCATCTATTTCTATATTAAAGTCCGCTGGTAGAGACGGCTCGTAAATCACGAGTCTACGTAAGCCCGCCGTACGTGCCACCCTAAATAACTACATTCTCCGCGGCGCTACGAAAGCGTACGCGCGGTTACGGGCTGCCGGCAGCTAATATCTGATAATTGCGTGTATCGCCTTCTGCGAAAATGATAACAGTCGGGCTGTTCGACGAGTGTTGCAGCGGTCCGGACTCTCATTTCCGACGTTAAATGCAGACCGCAAATTTACATTTTATGGGAAAGTCCAAATACATACAGAAACTCTATTTGGTATTGTGTGCTCAAAATGCTGTAAGAAATGATATATTTGTTTGGAAGAAATTACCATTCGAGCGCTCTTTTCATTAAAATGATTTATCGTTACACTTTTAAGTATACACTATAAAAAGGATTTGTTAATAAGTACTAAAATTTAATGGATATTTACCGAGCAAACACGTTTGATTACTGCAACCAAACAATCCAATTGCCTATTCTGTATACATAGTACTGCAGTGTTCTGTATATACAGTACACAGAACTGAATTATTTGGCTGCAGCAATGAAATATATTGTCGACAAATATTTATCCAATTTTAATACCCTTTTTCAATATACGCGAGTTACGACATTAAATAACTCCGGATATTTCTTGAACCGGCGCTTGTTTCGCATCTAATTCGTTATGATCGGACTTGGAGCTATACCCGCAGTAGGTAAGTACCTGAAATTTGCATAGTTTGCCGACTAATTGGACCCTCAAAGGCGGAATCCTAGTAAACTTTGATAACTAGCCGCACCTTGTTGAGCAACTATTGTTCTGCTCAGTTTGCGAGCAACAAGTTGGGCACCGATAATTAGACAAGTTAACACAACTATGACCGTCCACAATCGTTAGCCGATAATAGGATTAAACGTACTTACAGGAAGTGCCAGTATAGGCGACAAACTACCTTCGTGCGTATTGCGAGTAATGATTCTAATCTTTCCTAGCCACTTGGGAAGTTCCATTAGACAACACGTCGCGAGGATTATTTAGGATACCGAAGTAAATGAATTCTCGCGAAGGATATGAAATATTGTATCTGTTGAAACATGCTCGGGGAAAAATTTTGGGCAAATTTTAATTTAAATATTAATTGTTTCACTATATATATATATATATAAAGAGAGAGAGAGAGAGAGAGAGAGAGAGAGAGAGAGAGATGCCCAGGCGCGCTGACTTGTAGAGATACACCGGAAAGAAATTAATTATAAACTCGTGGTCAGTTTTTAATTTCTGGTGTTGATGCATAGAGTTTTCAATTTTCAAAAAATGCGAAGATGTGTGTATACCCTCCACCGTTCTTTTATTTGCGATCGGATCTCGAATCAACGATTAACCGGCAATTTCTAT